TGCTCAGGCTGGTTTCGAACTCCTGACCTCGAGCAATCCGCCCGCCTCAGCCTCCCAGAGTGCTAGGATTACAGGCGTGAGCCACTGTGCCTGGCTTTCTTGAGTTTTAATTAAAGCAAATAGCCACGAGTGGCTAGTGTCTATTATATTGGCACAGATCTAAAACCTTTTATAAGGTATGGTCTTGAAGTAGCCTTATCAGTGTCGTGAAGGAATTTCTTCACAATGCAAATTCATGGGCTCTACCCCAGACTCTCTGAATCAGAAACTCTGGAGTGGGGGCCAGAAATTTGTGTTTTAACAACGTTCCCAGGTGATTTTGATGCACATTAAAGTTTGAGAGCTACTGTTCTATAACATAGTATTAAATTCTATTTTATAATATATTCATTTCATTGTTTTGTGAGAAAACAACAAAAGCAAGATATAATCTAAAAAGAGCAGTATGGGTGTTGGGAGAATTGACAGTGAGCTTCCTGAAATATAAACAGTTTTGAGGACTTGCTAATATTGGACAGCAGTTCTGTGGAAAAACAGCAAGTTAAGGATATTCAGCATGGGAAAAAGGTTGCTAGGGCTTCTGAAAGAAGAGCAATGTAAAATAAACATTTAGTGTTACTTTTACAAGTGTATGTTAATCTTTTTTTTTTTTTTGAGACAGAGTCTCGCTTTTTTGCCTAGGCTACAGTGAGTGCCATGGCGTCAGCCTAGCTCACAGCAACCTCAAACTCCTGGGCTCAAGCAATCCTCCTGCCTCAGCCTCCTGAGTAGCTGGGACTACAGGCATGCACCACCGTGCCTGGCTAATTTTTGTATATATTTTTAGTTGGCCAATTAATTTCTTTCCATTTATAGTAGAGACGGGGTCTCACTCTTGCTCAGGTTGGTTTCGAACTCCTGACCTCGAGCAATCCGCCCACCTCAGCCTCCCAGAGTGCTAGGATTACAGGTATGAGCCACCGCGCCCGGCCTCATTTGTTCATTTTAAAAGTATTTATTGAGTACCTGTTAAGTGTTGGACACTGTGCTAGGCACTATTGATACAATTGTGAACAAAACAACTTCAGTTTATATTCTTGTCAGGGAGATATCATAAAAAAAGACCATATTTACCAAGTTAATAGATATTTAGTTAGAGTTCTTGGTTGCAAATGATAGAAAATGATTCTAGGTACCTCAAACAGAAAAGAGATTTTCTGGAGGGTATTGAAGAACTCAAAGAAGCACCAGGAAGGCTGGAAAGCACAGTAAGGCCTGGCTAGGATGTTAACACTACAGGAACATTGTGCTCAGGATGCCATCACTTTCTGGCTGGACATTCAGTGGCCTAGTTACTGGCCCCCTGCCATGGAACATGACCCAGCTTGCTGCTAGACTCTGCTGCTCATGGATAATTTTTGCTACCCACTATATTCTCCACTGTGATATAGCAACCATAACAAAGTCTCAACTGACACTGTGTTCTTGTGTTACTCTTCAAAGTTCAAAATCCCAGGCAGGAATACCTAGTTGGCTACAATATAGTAGAAAAGGGAATATCTGTCTCTTTGGACTCCTTATCAGGAGGCAGGGCTGCCTCCCATCTAACTTGAATTTTTTGTTGTTGTTTTTGTTTTTTAGAATCCACTCCAAGCAGAGTTAACTTGAATTTTATTAAAACAAGATGCTGGGTAGCCAAATTGCAAATATTTGCCATAACAGACAAAATAATTTAGCTATTGGAAATTTTCCAAGTATAGTGAAGGAAATAAAACGGGGGCTGAAATAGAGACTAATATAATAGAAGGGAATCTTTGAGTGGAAATGATAAAAGAAGATCTCCACTAGCAGGAGATATTTGCTTAAGAATAGGGTGATGAACTGTCCCAGTTTGCCAGGACGGCGGAAAATCCTATGATGTGGGACTTTCATTCTAGCAACTTGGGACTTGGCTAAAGCTGGGATGAAGTTGGTCACTCTAATTGTGAAGGAACCATACATGACAATAGTGGAGGCAAGAGCATTTCATGAAGAGGGAAAGTTGCAGGTTCAAAAGTCCTAATGTTGAAAAGGTCTTGGCATGTTTGAGGAACAGAGAAGCCAGTGTGCATGAGGGGAGAGTTGCATGAGGTAGGAAAGAAGAAGTAGGCAGAAGGCAGATCATGTAGGACCTTTGGGCTGTGGTGAGTGTTTGGATTTTGTTCTAAGTGAAGTGGAACAGTATTGGAGGGAGGGTTAAGCAGGGGAATAATATAGTCTGGCTTTACCCTGCTGCCTTCTCAAGGAAAAATTGAAGTAATATGAAGGCAAATGTGTCATGGAGACTGGGCAACCTGCTCCTCAGCCCCTCATCACATCTTTTCTCCTGCTGTTATCTTTGGTTTATCCTTCCATCCATCATTGGCCTCATGGCCTTAACTATATCTCTTTGCTTCTTTTAAGCTTTGGCTCCTGCTGCTGCCTGATTAGTTCTCCATTTTCCAAATTAGTCTACCAGGAGAGGGACCTGATTGGCCCAAATTATTTTCCTTACTCTAGACCACTAAATAGGTGTGTTCAACCAGCAATATGTTCCAGTCATCAGTGGCTGGGGGTAGGGTGGATGGGGGACATAGGGAGATGGTTGGCAGGGGTCCAAGGGGAAAGATTGAGAATACTGGTATGTAGAATATGGACTGTACCATCAGCCGGTATCATGAGCAAGAGAGTTTTCCTTAGGACCATGGGTGTAACACCATAATAGACACAGTTATTGCAAAGATTTTAAAATATCGATGTTCTTATTTTCTTCTCCCAGAGACCAATGATCATCAGCCTGTCTTCCAGTTATGGCTCTTATTGTCTAGCCCTCTCCTAAATCAATCCATAACAGGTAGTGAGGTGAGTGTTTAGAAAAGGAGCTTTTGCCTATTATCTAGGCCACAGGTAGAAGTCCCAAGGTATCTGGGAACAGAGGATAGACTCTAGGATTACCTGGAAGTTGTTATTAGAAGTCTTTTAATAGATCCCCCTGTCTCTAGATATAATACCCAAATCATGCCTCTTTCTTTCCCATTAATAACTCTTTTATAGGAAGACTGAATGATATTTTTCTCCCTCTCTCAAAGAAACTGATCCCAAAAAAGTGACACATATATATGCTGCTTGATATATTTTTTTTACCCTGGCTAACTTTTTTGGCTTTTCCATCTTTAGGTTTGTTGGGGTCCTTAAATCCTGATTGTCAATGTCCTAAGATCCCAGAGAGAAACTGGACTTACGTTTGGTTTCTATTACATGACTGGAGGAACTGCACTTGTATTTGATTTCTCTCACAAGAATAGTTGCACCTAAGACAATCACTGCAGAATTTGGCTTTTATAGTTAAATTAGCTGAGGGAGATGGAATATCATGCAATCCAAATAGAAAGATGTTAATGAGAACCAGAGGATAGGTTGCTTATCTAGGTCTTCTTAAACTTTGAGAAATTACCTATCTTGTTAAAATGCAGATTTTAATACAGTAGGTCTGAGGTGTGGCCTAACATCTGGAATTCTGTGTTTCAAACAAGCTCCCAGGAGACGATGCTGCTGGTTTGCAGACACACTTTGAGGAGTAACAACTGACAGATTTGATATTCTCAAACAGGCATTGGTGAACAGAAGCCGCCTCTATCGCTCCCCTTCAATGCCAGAGAATTTGAACAGGCCAAGACTAAAGCAGGTGGCAAAATTCAAGGATAACCCAATACCAGATAAAGTAAAAAAGAAATATTATTCTGGCCACAGAGAGCTCAGGAAGGTAAGAACTGTTTAAATGGGTGTTTATCTTCTATCTCATGTCTTCTCTGCTTTTCTGGTATGAGGATTGCTTTAGTATGCCTTTTTTGTCTTCTTCCTCTTTATTTTTACTTTTATGTCTTTGTTCTTTCTATCTTTTTGTCTTTTCTATATCTGCATCCGTATGAAAAATATTTAACAATAAATATCTGTGTTATAGTTTCAGAAGTAATGTCATTATACAGTCTTCCCAATCCTCTTTTTTATTATTTATTTATTTATTTGTTTGTTTTGAGACAGAGTCTTACTTTGTTGCCCAGGCTAGAGTGAGTACCGTGGTGTAAGCCTAGCTCACAGCAACCTCAAACTCCTGGGCTCAAGCGATCCTCCTGCCTCAGCCTCCCAAGTAGCTGGGATGCTACAGGCATGCGCCACCATGCCCGGCTATTTTTTTCTATATATTTTTAGTTGGCCAATTAATTTCTATTTATAGTAGAGACAGGGTCTTGCTCTTGCTCAGGCTGGTTTCGAACTCCTGACCTTGAGGAATCCGCCCTCCTCGGCCTCCCAGAGTGTATTTTTTATTTTTTTGAGACAGGGTCTCACTCTGTTCCCTGGACTATAGTACTGTGGTGTCGGCCTAGCTCACAGCAACCTCAAACTCCTGGGCTCAAGTGATCCTCCTGCCTCAGCCTCTGGAGTAGCTGGGACTACAGGCACTCACCACCACGCACAGCTAATTTTTACTATTTTTAGTAGAGACGGGATCTTGAGAGGCTGGTCTTGAACTCCTGGCCTCAAGCAGTCCTCCCTCTTCAGCCTCCCAGAGTGTTAGGATTTTAGGAGTGAGCCACCATGCTCAGCTCCAGTCCTCTTTTTAAACATCTGAGGGAATACAAGGGAACTTTGGTTGGTATGGATAGTTAGTGCTGTTTTACATGCAGTCTGACAGAAACAACATCTTATAACAGATGGGTTTGATGGAAAGTGACTTCTGAAAAACTTAGCCCTCATCCTGTACTCTTCCTTTAAAAAAATTTTAAATATCTTTGGGTATTTTATGAAATCAGTATGAGATATTATAGAAGAATAGAAAATGCAGATAACCAAAAACAAGCCAATGTACAATATCCATAATCCCACAGGCCTGAATAATTACTGTTAACAATTCATATTCTTCCAGACATTTTTCTATGCAAATATATATTTTTTCTTTTATTAAAGTAGCATTACAAAGTTCTTGTTTTTTAACCTACTTAGTGATATCATGAGCTTATTTCTATGTCAGTATAATTAATCTACAACATACTTTGTGTTGTATCATAGTGATCTATAATATGTGAGATATAATTTCTTTATCTTAAGGCCCCATTCCCAAACATTTACTAGTAATAATGCTCTTTTTTTTTTTTTGAGACAGTCTCACTGTGTTGACCAGGCTAGAGTGAGTTATTTAAAGGTTTAAAAACTAGGGGTTGGAGGAGTGGGGGTTCATTAACAATGCACAGATCCTTTAATCTAATAATTCCACTTGTTTCCCTAAGGAAATAAAGATATGCAAAAAGATTTGGCTGTAAGGATGGATATCTCAGAATGTTTATAAGAGCATTATTCTCTGGGAGGCCGAGGCAGGTGGATTGCTCGAGGTCAGGAGTTCGAAACCAGCCTGAGCAAGAGCAAGACCCTGTCTCACTACAATAGAAAGAAATTAATGGCCAATTACATACATACATACATACATATATATATTATATATATAATACTAATTACTTTATATATATATATAAATTAGCCGGGCATGGCGGCGCATGCCTGTAGTCCCAGCTACTCGGGAGGCTTGAGGCAGGAGATTGCCTGAGCCCCGGAATTGAGGTTGCTGTGAGCTAGGCGTGATGCAAAGC